CATTTCTAGAGACAGGAGAATTTTAACCTCATGAATTCATGAATGAATGAAATGGGGCAACCATGTAAAACAATTCCCAGAGGTAGGAAATTGAACTAGAAATTGTTACTTTCTCTCTCTCTCTCTCTCTCTCTCTCTCTCTCACACACACACACACACACACACACATGTCAAGAGGCAATGAGAGGCAAAAGCAAAACATTGGCTGTGAATCATTTGTGGGTGCAATCAATTTCTTACAAAACACAAGCCATTTCATCAGGTCACAACTGTCAAAACAACCCAACTCTGCCAGGGAAGCTAAGTACAAGAACAGCAGCATGATAAAGGGTGATTACTGGGAAGAGGGGGAATACGTGAAAAGGTCCTGGGAATCAGTATGGCAACAGTTATCTCTAAGGAGCCGAATGAGGGAAGGTTTGTAGCTCAGTAATAGACCACATCTTTTGCATACAAAAAGCACAAGGTTCAGTCCTTGACACCCACTCCTTTGTGTTTTTGACAGCTGGATTGTAAAGTTTTGTGTGTGTGTGTGTGTGTGTGTGTGTGTGTGTGTAATTGTTGCATTTTTATATTGTATTGTATGAAGTTGATGGGAAAGTCCAGTATGAAAGATGCATGCCTTCCAAGTGTCCCGATTTTCCAGGGACAGTCCTGGAATTGCTGCTGTTCATCCAGGCAAGCAAGAGGCAGTCTCATGGTCCAAGGACACAATGCAGGCAGGGAAAAGCACACAGGGAGGTTGCAGAGCCCTGCTGGTGTAAGGCATGGCCTATGGAAAGGAGTTGGCATCTAGGTGGCAAGTGTGGCCTGAGGAGAAGCCGGAGAGGCAGAGAGGGAGATCAGAGGTTCTCCACTCCTAGGATAAACAAAGCATGGTTTGGCCATATGTCTGAACATGCGTGCTCACCTGCCCTACCCCATCCCACCCCACCTTCTTAGGTTTCAGGGTAAGGTCCTCTTCCCATCTAAATTGAGTTCCTCCCTTCCCTCACAGATGCAGCACAGATTGCTTTTCAACAATGTACAGATAATGCCATTCTAATATCCTTGAACATTCCACAACATTACAGTGGTGCAGCTAATCCATGGATGAGGAAGGATTCCATACAGGTAGCAGACCATTTTCCAGCCTTATTATGAAATTTAACATAGGGTGATGCTATAGCAGTGTTTTCTTGCAAAGCACTACCCGAGCGAATAGAACTACTCAATACCCACAGGTATCCACTGTTGCATTACTCAATTTGACAATGGCGCAAGATCTGTTGGAGCCCAGAAAAGATCCCTTTTTATGCAGCCGGTTGACAGTTAAAACCAAACAAAGAGAAAAGCAAGTGTGCCAAATTTTCACAACTAGACCTCCTGCTTTCGTTCCTGTATTTATGGATTTTTAAAAATCTATTAAAAATGCTCTAAACGAACAAATTGTCAACCAGATTCTTACCACTACCCAATTTGGCTGCCTGCTTCCCTGCACTGAATTACCCAATTATCTCCTAAATTATATTTAAAAAGGCAAATCTTTCGCCACCAACTGTTCTCAGAACTGCCAGGATGTGCAGTGTTGCAAAACTGTACTTCAAAAGAAGAAGAAGAAGAAGAAGAAGAAGAAGAAGAAGAAGAAGAAGAAGAAGACGGGGGGGTGAGAGAGGGGGAAAAAATAAACAAAAGAGCCCTCCCAAAGAGGGAGAGAGGCTGAACTGCATATGCCAATCCCAATGGCTCCCATCAAAGGAAGGCTTTGCTTTGTGTGTGTATGTGAAACAAAACCAGGCGCCTCTAATAAACTCCTGGTCTAATTACTGGCTGCAGATGTATCAAGTGAAGCAAATGAGATGCAGGCGTGCCATTAATTATCTAATGAGGCCAGCCGCCGTTCTGACGAGGTGGAGCTAATTAAATATTAAACAGCGGCATATGGAAAGATGCTGAAACAAAGGACTCTGAGCTGAATCAGTATCTATGGTGTGTGTGTGTGTGTGTGTGTGTGTGTGTGTGTGGAGGGGGAAAGAGATTAAAATAAAATGGGAATGTGTTGGGTGTGTTTGTGTGTGTGCAGTCTTTATAAGGAGAGAGAAAGGGAAAACAACCCTTTCAGCTAAGACACAATAGCAATTTCCTTAGACCAAAGGTAATTGGGACAGAAATGGAAGCAGAAGACTCGAAGGAAGGAGAGAGAGAGAGACAGAGAGAGAATGAACTTCTGAAGGTGCACGCAGATGAAAAGCTTTCACATTAAAGCACTGCCAGTAACATTTACAGGCAGAGGCAGCCGGCTCTCCATTTAACCCTTCTTGGTTATTAAGGGCTGCCACGGCACTCCTCTGAAAATTAATTATTATGTTCAGCCTCTTCTTTCAACTTTGTAATGAGCACTGGAGGTAGATCCAGAAGCTAGGGATGGTGGAGAAGGTTAACACAGTTCACATTTAAAGGTGAAACTATCAAATCCACCCTTTCCAAAACAATATGGGGGCCATATGGGGATCAGGCTCTCGACAAGGCTTCTGAAAAACCTCTTTCCCCTTAAAAATAAACAGACAAACTGAAATATGCTTCTTTGCTCACCCTTTCTCCTTCACCTGTCATTTTATTTTGTTGATAATACCCTTCTTTAGGGTGTTATCAACACCTCCTCAATATCCATTTCATCCTTTGAAATATTATTAATAATAATACATTTTATTTATACCCCACCCTCCCTGACCGAGACCGGGCTCAGGGCGGCTAACACCAAATATATAAAATACATTAAAAACACAAAATCAAACGATTAGTTTAAAATACAATTTGAATCACATTTAAAATCAAAATAAAATTAAGTGGGAGAACCAAAGAACAGCCATCTTTCACAGGACATCACATGCAGTCAGACCCGTAGCTAGGTGATCTTGCGCCCCTGGCAGAACTGTCCACATTGCACCCCCTAGCCACGGACAAATTAGCTCTTCTTTCCGCCTCTCCTCCAACCCCCCTCACCCATTCAATTCACCCTCTATTTAAAACCATTTCTTATGAGGCAATCATCAATATTTATGTTTATGGACATATTTTTAGCTGATTTTGTGCGCGCCCCCATCACCTGCGCCCCTGGCAGGGGCCCACCTCACCATCCCCTAGCTATGGCTGCAACAAGCCCTGTCAGGTCCTCTGAGCCCCATCAGGCCTTTCAGAGAGCATGGTGGGCCCCATTGGGCCTCAGCGCACCATGTGACATCACACATGCATTGGGTTGTCCAGTCAGCCACCCACAGTAAACATTTTGTGGGCCCCTCGGCAACCAGGCACCGCCCCCCCCCCAAGATGGCACCTATGGTTGGAATCAGCTCTCCATAGTTTCAGACAGGGAGCATTCCCAGCCCCACCTGGAGATTCTGGGCAATGAACTTTTCACCTTCTACATGCAAAAGCATCTACTCTACCACTGAGCTACGGTTTTATGCCAAAACTATCATTTATATGTTGCAAACTCTTTCTTTTTTTATGGTCTGTCTTTATTCTTTTCTCTCCAGAAATTTTAGACTGTGGTGGGGTTTTTTTTTAATGATGTAACACTTGGTTTTATTGGATTGTATTTTAATTGTATTTTATCATATGGTGTCTTAATTGTTTTTTATTAGTTCCTGGTTGTGAGCTTCCCAGGGAACAAACATTGGGTATTGTGCATTTAGTGAAATGCGTGAGAGAGAGAGAGCTGGAAATGACCTGAGGTTGGGTGGGCATTTGGCTCTGGGTTCAAATCAGCAGAACATCTCCCCTTGATATCTTAGATAAACAATTCCAGGCTTTCGATAAGGCTTCTGAAAAGCCTCTTTCCCCTTAAAAACAAACAAACAAACTGAAATATGTTTCTTTGCTCACCCTTTCCCCTTCACCTGTCATTTTATTTTGTTGATAACACCCTTCTTTAGTATAATCTCCTTAATATCCATCTGCTCCCCCTTTAGGCAAAAGCTTCTTAAATTCAAATATAGGGACTATTTTTATCACAGAAGAATATGTAAAGCAATAGAAAACATTTTAATGGATTTTTCTGCCTGTGGCCCTTTTTTTAGCTGCATTTCCATAATGAAATCTAGTTACAGACATTGGGGCCGCTACAGTCGACTGTTCACAAAAAAATATATGGAAGGAACAACCTGCCCTTGTAAACCAGCCTGGTAATAAAAATGCCATTTCACATTCTCACCTACACAGAACCAAATGCCTTCTCTCTCTCTCTGTCTCGTCTTTTGGGGTTTCCACTTCTGTAGAGTTGTATGGGCACCAGGAAGGACATAGCAATGATTTGCATTTAGATAATCCTAGGCAACAACCCTTTTACATCGCAGACCCTAAACAGCACAGCAGAGTGAGGTCATAGGATCCTGAGGCTTTAGAATGAATTGTGCCATTTCAGGCAGCAAGGAAAGGGAGGCTCTTTGTAAGTGTTCCTCCATATGGTGGAGACCCATCCAGCAGGTAAGATACTAGAACATCAAAGAACAAATGTCGTGGTTTAAATTGTTCTTTGCTAGTGATAGGGGAATCTGTTAATTTTGATTTCTCAATTTTCCAACCTGAAGTTCAGTTCTCCGCATCAAGTCATCATGAACGTTCATCAGCATTTTAGTGTGATGTTCTCCTAATAGACACCTCTTTGTATGTAATTGGTCATAATAGACACATTTTTGCAAATCAATTCCCCTCAGTATAAAGCATTTTGTATGTTCTTTTCACTAATATATGAATTTTTATCCACACTTTACCCTGCTGTACACATTATTATACAATAATGTGGCTGGAGAACGGCACTGCAAAATTCAGAGAGGTGCAATATTCTCTGTTTAACTAGGGATGAGGGAAGGAAGGAATGCAAACTTACCTAATTTACACATCTTGAACCAATAAGAAAACCAAAACCCAGCTGTCCTTTAAAATCCTTCAACTTTTGCAGTGCAATTCTCTGGTCAAAACTGTGCCGCTCACAAATTCCTATATTTTTGAAAATAATTTATTTACAATATTATGATGAAGGGAAATGGGTGCAAAGATGCATATATTTTGCAAATTTGTGTACTGAAACACATTTATTAGAAGAAATGTGCTGTGGACTATTTTACTCTGTGTGTGTGTGTGTGTGTGTGTGTGTGTGCGGACTGCAAAATGATATGGTAATAAGATGAACTAAACTGCGACACTGAGAAAAGCCAAAGTTTGTCCTAAAATTGACAGATTCATTAAGCGAGTGGAAATGGCAAAGGGGCACATGCTTCACTGTTCCCCCACATTCCTCCTGGGGCCCTGTAATCAGTCACCATCATTGCAATCATTGAATTGTAGACCAGCCTTCCTGTTCAATATTTAAGATTCTGGATTACTTGGGCTTGTGACTCTTGCTCACTCTCCCATCCCTGACAATGCCTTGTTGAACTAAGCACATGGCGCTATCAAGATTAACAGGCTGCTGCAGAGCCCAGCTCCCTGTGGAGAGTGATTTGAGAGATGCAGCTGTGAGTCAAGGGAAATCTACATTAGGAGACACTATTTCCAGCAGTGATGGATCACAGAACTGAAAAAGCGAAACCCAGGTTTGGTAGGAGATGTGTGGATTAAAGACAGGCAGGTCTTAGCTATAATATCAAGAAGAAGAAGAAATGGTAACTCTTAAGGTGTTAACCACTGGTGGCTGAGTCTTTCAGACTCAGGCTGCCCTCAGCCAGCCCCCCAATCTGCCTGTTCTTACTTACAACCACCCCAGGAAATGGAACTGCCTACCAGCTTCTTCCTTCTTACAATCAAGTGTTGCCTCTTGCAGAACTCTTCAGGGTACAGAATGAAAAACTAGATTGAGGTGGCTATGCCCATCATTGGCTTTGGCACCACATACTGTTAGTCTCGCTGCTTTACACCCTACCAGACCCAATGACCCCCAGTAACCTCTTGTGGGAGGCCTTAATGTAAAATGGAAGACCAATCCTTATTTTTTCCTTCAAAGTATGAAATGGAATTAATATGAGGAAGTAGTACAGGGTGGATGAGGCCGATGCAGCAATGAAAACCTAAGAGGCAAAGTTGAACACTTTGGTCTCAATCCTATTTAGTTAGGAGTGTGTGTCCCGTTGCTCTTAACAGAATTTACAAGCAGGATGGCAAACAGTAGGTCTTCTGTCCATGCAGAAATTTGGCAAGGGGACCAATGGATGCTGCCTTATACTGAGTCAGAAAATTGGTCCATCTAGCTTAGTATTGTCTACACCAGGCTTCCTCAAACTCGGCCTTCCAGATGTTTTGAGACTACAATTCCCATAATCCCTGACCACTGGTCCTGCTAGCTAGGGATCATGGGAGTTGTAGGCCAAAAACATCTGGAGGGCCGAGGCTGAGGAAGCCTGGTCTACAATGACTTGCAGAGACTCTCCAAGTTTGCGTATAGGGGACATTTCCAGTCCTACCTGCAGATGCCTGAGATTGAACCTAGGAGCTTCTGCTTGCAAATCAGATACTCTACCACTGAGCTACAGTCACATAGCAGTTTACTCCATGCCCCCGATGTTTCCCCAACTCTTAATTTGTGAATTATATTTGAGCTTTCACATATGTAAAAATAATTTCTGGAAATCCAGTGGCATATGGTGGCAGCTTAGTGCTCATTTCCACATTGACTGGTTCTATAAATGATTTGTTTGCAACTCCATTGATCAAAAAAAGCACAGGAGTGAAATGACAAAATTTGGGGTGGCATACCAGCATATAGTTCTTTCTTGTTGTTTTCATGGGGGGAAATGGGGGAAGAAAAGCAGGCATGTTTGGAAAGGGTGGGGAAGTAATGATGTTGTCCAAATGCTACAAACTCCCACTGGTGTGCATGAAATTTAGCATGACATCCCAGTATAGTGATAAAAAAAGTTCCGTAACACAGCAGTACAGCATTATGACACCATTTCCCTGCTAATTTTCACAGTAGCCACTTCCAGAGCTATAGTGGAATATAGCACAAGTTTAGCAATTACTCCTATATTATTTGCAATCACATTTTTCTTCTGGAAGGAAATAACATGGAAATGAGCACTAAACATACACTATACCTCGGGTTAAGTACTTAATTCGTTCTGGAGGTCCACTCTTAACCTGAAACTGTTCTTAACCTGAAGCACCACTTTAGCTAATGGGGCCTCCCACTGCCGCCGCGCCGCCAGAGCACGATTTCTGTTCTCATCCTGAAGCGAAGTTCTTAACCTGAGGTACTATTTCTGAGTTAGCGGAGTCTGTAACCTGAAGTGTATGTAACCCGAGGTACCACTGTATTCCACTATTGTTCTAGAAGAGCTTTTAGATCATATGAAATAATGCATAACTTAGTAGCTAGGGGAAAGTTGTAAAAATGGAATAAATTGTCATGTGAATGCAGTTACAATATTTCCCAGGTCTCAATGCAACCTTGGTGGCAACTCTAAGTCAAGTTCATACTTTAGGACATACCAAGAGAATATGAAGAGATATTGTGCGTCTACAGATAATCTCTGAAAACAATTGGCTTCTGAAAGCTTTATGAAAGCAAAGCCTTGCATTCATGCTCTGAAACTCACCCCCCCCCCAAAAAAAAAAGATGTTGGAAACTTTTCAGTGATTCTTTAATGGAAAAAGAAAGAGAGATGACCTATGCCTTCAGTGACTCAAATCCTGTAGGATACTAAATTGGTTCATTTAATCTGCACAGGAATTTAAGACGTTTCCTAATTAGGCTACATTAAGCCACTCCAAAATAAGCATTGTTCAGACCCATTTAAAGAGCTGATTTAAAAGCATAGGAGGAGGGGAAGATGACATGGGACCACTGAGAACTCCAGTGTTTTCTCCAACTTCTTGTGATGTTCAGACTTTTAAGGAGTTATTCAGAAGGCAGGTAATTTCAAGTACCACTCAGGTATTTCTTCAACATTTCCTGCTCCTGTTTTACATTTGATTGATTCTCTACCTTGTTTGGAGTATTCATCCCAAACTGAGATGGAACACCTCAGGACTAGGGGTTAAATAGGGCTCTCTAGGCCATGGGTCAGCAAAATAAGGCCCGCAGGCCGCATCAGGTCCAATTGCCTTCTAAATCCGGCCTGTGGATGGTCCGGGGATCGCCGCCTGGATTGCCAGCAAGTGGATCGCCAGCACGCGCATTCTTTCCCTCTCGCTCCCTCTCCCTCACATGGCGGCACCTCCTCCCTCCCTCCCCCTCCTGGCTTCTCCCCACCCTGCCTAAAGGAGGAAGGGGACTGAGCTTTGTTGGTGCCAGCCCCTCTCTGGAGCCCTTTAGTGTGCCGCTCATTGTCCCTCATTCATTTCCCCCCCAAAAAATATAGTCCAGCCCCCCATAAGGTCTGAGGGACAGTGGACTGCCCCCCTGTTGAAAAAGTTTGAGGACCCCTGCTCTAGGCATTTCAAAGTGGCTCTTGGGACTTTCCCCAATGGACACCCTCTCCTCAGTTTCAAACCCTCTCCATGCCGCTCACCTGTCCTGCTTTGCACCCGTCTTGGATGTCTTTGCTTGCCAGTAATGTCCCCTTGAACGCTGATTGTGCTTCTTGCTTGTATGACTGCAGGACAGGGAGGAATGTACAAGGGGTGGTGGTGTAGAAACCAGCCTCCTGCTGAACAGAGGTGCCTCTGATCATGCCCACTCTGACACATGGCCCCTGGAAGGTTGCCCAGAAGGAAATGTGGCCCTTGAGTGGCTGAAAAATTACCCCCCCCATTCCTGACCTAAAAGCAGGGCCAGCCCGAGAAATTTTGGCACCTGGGGGAAACCACAAAATGGCACCTCCAATGCCAGTTGAAATAAGAGAGGGGGAAGCAGGGGTGACAACTTGAATAGAATATTGGGGGGGCAGGTAAGCCCCACCCCACATAATCAATCATGTGATGTGGTGCTTGCATACCATTTGAATGGCAATGTCCATCAACTGGAGGTGGGGGGCTGGCCCCCTCAAATATTTTAATTGGAGAGCCGAAGTTCCCTCTGCCCCTAGGAATTGGCTGCTATGGGGGGGAGGGGAGTGAAAATCTGCATCGGAGTTAAAGTGGTGGTGGGGATTAAGATCAGCATCATAATTAAAGGAACGGATGGAGATCAGCCTGGGAATGAAAGGAGAGAGTGAAGATCAGCATTGGAATGAGAGGAGGAGGAGGAGGGGCCAGGGGCAGAGGAAGGGTGGGTGTGGTCCAAATCGGGTGTCACCACTGAGGGGGGTGACAAAATGCCAGGCGGCACTCATGGCAGGGCCAGCAGCGCACCCAAGCCACATGTCTCTCCTGGGAGAGACGCGGTGGCTCAGGCACATGCAGGCTCTGTGCTGCCCGAACGGCCCACCCACTGCCTCCCCCCCCAGCTGTAGGGCGGCTGAGTGGGAGGAGGCAGGCAGACTCCAGAGGCCCCGCCCCTATGGGCAGCTCGCCCCACCCCTGGGTGTACCGCCCCAGGCACCTGAGCAGCTTCCTCCTCTGCTGGGAGGGGCTGCTGGAGGAGGAGGCAATGGCAGAGGTAGCAAGCAGGTGGATCTGCCCCCCCAAGGGGTCCTGATCTGCCGCCCAAGGCAGCTGCCTCACACTGCTTCACGGGTGAGCCGGCGCTGTGGGTTAAACCACTGAGCCTAGGACTTGCCAATCATAAGGTCAGCGGTTCGAATCCCCGCGACGGGGTGAGCTCCCGTTGCTCGGTCCTTGCTCCTGCCAACCTAGCAGTTCGAAAGCACATCAAAGTGCAAGTAGATAAATAGGTACCGTTCCGGCAGGAAGGTAAATGGCGTTTCCATGCGCTGCTCTGGTTCACCAGAAGCAGCTTGGTCATGCTGGCCACATGACCCGGAAGCTGTACGCCGGCTCCCTCGGCCAATAAAGCGAAATGAGTGAGTGCCGCAACCCCAGAGTCGTTCACGACTGGACCTAATGGTCAGGGGTCCCTTTACCTTTACCTTAATATGCAGTGTGCAAAAGATGTGTATTGTATGGGTACCCTTTTCAAGCATTCCTGATTACCTACTGCCCCTTGTTGATCCAGAATTGCCTCTGTGCAAAAGGCTCCTTAACAAGCCTTGTATAAAACAAGATTAGGGCAGCATGCACTTTGGGGGAAGGGATGGAGCTCAGTGGTATAGCATCTGCATTGCATGAGAAAGGCTATTGTCTCAATCTCTGGCATTTCTAGCTAGGGCTGCCTGAAACCCCAGAGAGCTACTGCCAGTCTTTGTAGACAATACTGACCTAGGTGGACCAGTGGTCTGACTTGATATAAGGCAGCTTACTACATTTGAATCTGCCCCCTCCTGCCCTGCAATAAAATGTAGGCACATAGGAAACTGTATTCCACTGAGTTGGTCAATTTGTCCATCCAGCTCAGCCTACATTAACTGGCATCTGTTCTCTGGGATCTCAGAAAGGGGGTATTCCCAGGCCTACCTGGAGATGCTGGGGGTGGAACCTGGGACCTTATGCAAAGAAAACAGCCTGCCACTGAGCCTTTCAGTTTCTGCTTTGTAGAAGTATTGGGCAACAGACGCTCCCATCTGACACCCTCTACTTTTTCAAATACAAGATTTCACAGGAAAAAATGCTCTAGGTGGGAAGTCAGTCTCATTGAGGTCAATGGGGATGATTGTTAGGTAAGGGGCCATCAACAGCCTTAGCAAGCACGGAGAAACTTTGCATTGCCCACTTTCCCCCCCACGTGCCTCATGGCTGTCAATTCAAAATGCAATCTCCAATATTGACACAGTCCAGCAGGTCAGCGTCAGTGGGGAATGGTTGGCCCAGAAACACGAGCCTGAATGAAACAGGGGAAAGGGAACATGTTCCGGGGAATGAAACTGAAACGAGCCTGTTATGGGAGGTATTTCCATCTGCTGTAGCATCAAGAGGTTCATTTAATCTATATTTTATATGTCTAAAAGAGTCTTATCACAGCAGGAGCCTTACAAACAAGCCATATTGAATGCTATTTGTTACCCAATTCTCCAGCAGGAAAGGATCCTAATGTCCTTTCAATTTAATATTGTCGTGTTCTGTGGGTTGTAGCCAACTAACTTTTACTTAGAGTAGACCCATTGATATTAATAGACACATTCCTCTTCATTGATTTCAGTGGGCCTACTCTGAGGAGGGGTAGGAGTGATCAAAGTGGTACCTTGGATTAAGAACTTAATTTGTTCTGGAGGTCCGTTCTTAATCTGAAACTGTTCTTAACCTGAGGTACCACTTTAGCTAATGGGGCCTCCCGCTGCCGCCGCACCGCTGCCGCCATGCGATTTCTGTTCTTATCCTGAAGCAAAGTTCTTAACCCGAGGTATTATTTCTGGGTTAGCGGAGTCTGTAACCTGAAGCATCTGTAACCTGAAGCGTCTGTAACCTGAGGTACCACTCTACAGCCCTATGGGTCCTGTGTGGTTATTACAAGTGGAGCGTTGATGGGGAACATCAGGCTCAAGGGCCAAATGCAGCTCTCTCTGTTTATTTATCTGAACCTCAGGACTCTCTCTGGATTG